AAAAAAGGATTATTTCGATTTTCCGCCTAATTTCCGCCTATATGCCCACTGTGCAATACAAAGATCTATACTCAGATTTTGTTGAAAAATACAATAACTGGACGCCATTTGGAAAGATTGAAAATTTTTATCGAATATTACAAATCCCGGAATATGATCAGGAAATCGATTCGAAACAAGTTATTCTAGGTATTCAAACACAAGAACAGCTTATCAACGTCCCTAAGTTGGTTGAGACAGTAAAAAAAAAATGGAATTAAGATCAAATATAAAGCTTTTTAATCAGCATAAAATAGTCGATGTGAAACGAAAAGAAGGAAATCGATTCTGGGTAGTCTGCTTAAATTCGGAAGGAGAAAGAGGTGAAATATTAGTCGATGTGGTAGTAAATGCTACATGGGAATATCGCAGAGAAATAGATTCATTTTTAGGGCATCAACCGCAGCAACTATTCAGTAATAGGTTGAAATTATTGGCTAGAATAAGATTACCGGATAATATGGCCAATTTTCATCCAGCAATGGTTATTCGAGGACCGTTTCTCATGATGGCAAATTGTCGAGACGGAACAGCCTTTGTAACATATGCACCAATTACAAATTTCGACAAGTGTATGGGCATAACAGTTCCCGACGATTGGGAGAAGTGGATTACTCATTCGGATGATCTAATTAATAATAGAAAAAAACAATTGGGTGAAACTATTCTTCAAGGAGCACAAAAATATATACCTCATTTGAAAAACGCCGAACTACTTGAAGTCAGAGCAGGTGTAATTGCACAACGGGCGATGCAGATCCATTTGATCCCAGTAGTGATATGCATCAAAGAGCTGAAAGTGGTGTTTATGAATTAGAAAAAGGTTGGCTAAGTCTTGATACAGGAAAATTAATATTTGGATCATGGCATGCAAATAAAATTGTTAATATTATTGAACGATATTTCAAACGTCCGGCTGATTCAGCAACAGTAAACACGAAAAATCTTGATGATAAACAAATCAACAATCCACCCCCGATGTACCGGCAAAGAAACGGTCCTTTTCGAGAAAGCGAAAATGAGAGATAAAACATACATACATAGAAAATTGACACATACGATATAAAGTGGTTGCACTGTAATCACCATACTTCATTCGCTAAAAACAGTTCCTGTTTGTATGTATATTCCTCTCTAAAGTATATTTTTTAAAAATTGATGATAAGATAATTGTGATGGTGCGCCTGGTTGTAAGATATTTTTCGGCCTTTTGCACCCCTTCTGAAAACCACTTTTTGCTCTCAGTTTGTAGAGAATTGAATGCTCTATCCGATAGCATGATCGCATTTTGGCGAAATATTTTTTAGGTGCCGAAAAGTTGGTTCGATTCGAAAAACCTCTGTTTTACAAACCATATTTTTTCCCTTGTTCGTTCTCCAAACTATTTCGTTTCAACGCTAAAATTCGAACAACATGTCCTTCTGTTCAGTTTTTGATGGACTTTCAAATGAAATATTTTTCGAACAACATGTACGAAAATTCACAGAGTTATAGACAAAAGACTGAGGATAGTACTTTTTCCAACTTTCGCGATGGGCCTCATTTCATAAATTCTATAACTCCGTCAGAATAAGACAGAAGCGAAAAAAGCTTTTTCATAATCCCAGATTTGATTGAAATACTATTTAAATATTCTACATCATCTACAGCCATCATTGATACAATCCATCGATTGTAATTAATTCCATATACTTCACTATGGGGGAGGAAAGAGTTAAACTACAACACTCAAAATTGGCAGAACCAAAATACAGCAAGTTCGAAATTTTCGTTACAATTTTTCAAACGCTTTGTTTTTGTAAAATTTAGCAAAATTAGACAAGTGTCAAATTTCGATATATTTCAGTAACACTCGATAGAGTCTCGTCTGACCAACAGGACATTCTTAATCAGAGTAGTGTGGTTAAAAGAAGAGAAAACATTTTGTGTTAATGATCTTACTGTTTTCAAATTTTCGTTTATCTAGGGAATGAAAAAGAATCGCTTTCAAAATCTTTTATTCTCATAGTTAGCAAAATCGTAGACCCGAAAAGACGCGTCTTTGCGATATGGTATATCGTAATATATATGCAGTTTCAAAATATGTCAAGACCATCTTAGCGCTGTTCTGATTCTGGGATAATGTATTGGTCTCAGCTGCTTTTTGAATCGACACTCCGCGAGTAGTGGATGTATTGGATGAAACCGATGCAGTAGATGAAAATTTTTTCAATAACTGTATCTTGTAGAGAAATGTTTCAGCGACATTTTAAAAACAAAATTATCAAAAAATCTCTTTTCCTTACTATTCAATTGAACTTTTAAAATGTGAACCTTCAACTTTTTTTAGAACTGAAATTTCTCAATTATTTTTCATGGCAATAGATACTTTTAAATACACCATTAAATAGTGCGTGAAAAACTGAACAAACGAGGGGTCTGCGAGATTTCAAAAATGAATGTAACAGGGTTTTTGAAAGGGTTTTCTGGAAATCTTCAATAAAGTTCAGATCTTTTCAACATTTTTCATCTGCTTTGAACTAATTTTTGTTTTCGATTCAAATTAATATTTTTTGATAGTATAACACAAAAATAATTTTGAGATTCGAATAGGTTTTCAGAGGTTTTTCAAAGAGAGGTATTTTTAAGGTGCCAATAATGATGATGTGCGTGACCACGTTTTAATTCTCTTTCATTGCCGTAGTAACCAGAGAATGATCTAAATATCCATAGTCAAAATATAAAGCCATGGCGTTCTATTCGATTTTTTAAAGATTTGTTCTGTACTGGCCTTCTGTTCTGTGGAGGGGGTTTAGTTCTCAGCTGTCTTAAGATAACTAGAACAGAGGAACGTTACTAAAATGTCCTATTAAGCCACACACCAGAGTTTCCTTATTGAACACACAAAGAATCACTTGAAAATTCCGACAACTAAGCCAAGATAATATCAAATTATTCGATGTGTGTTCTGTTCAAACATCTTGTATATAATGTGATATCAAATTATCGAGCGAAAATCACCGATTAACCCAGTTAGACGTTTGCAATCCTCAGAATCCTCCAGAATAGAAGGGCATGGCCTTCTACGATGCCCCGGCGAATCGAATTTATTAGGATGGCCTTCTATTAGGGGTGACTGTCTAATCGGATGTTTCAACCAAAATTTTCCAAAAATTTCTAAACTCGTAAAAAGCTTAGAATAATGACTTAGAATAATGAAGGTGACCTTCTATTCTGGACGGAGGGTTACTAATGTAGTCCTTTTTCTACAATAATTCAATATTCAGTGATCTTGGAATGACGCTGAAACTAATTATTATTCACATACAAGACGTGTGATAATATTGCATAATTATTTTAATTAAATTCTAATTATATTTAGTATTTTATAATGCCCTATTTCTATCCTAAATTACTTTATTAAAACTAAATATATTTGTGTTTCAAGAACCTTTGCTTTGACTGTTCATTTGAGAATCACTCGACGATTCTTTTCTTGAATCAGCATTGGTTTTTCGAAGGATTGATAAATATGACAAATCTTTGAAATCACATAAAAACTTTCTACCAACATCGCTGGTAAGTAAAATCTACTACTGTTTATGAGTTCAACTTCTCATAGTGTTTGAGGTACATGAGTTAGGTATAAGTTTAACCTGTACGAACTTCATTACAACAATTTTGTGTACAATGTCTAGTTAGTTCATCGGACAGTTTCATTCATCGAAAAAATTTCAAGTTTTTTTAATTAATAAATTCTTCATGTTTTCTCTACGTGAAGAAATGAATATGGTTTTATTCTTTCTGTACCCGAACTCAAAGTTTGTTGTTCTTGATTAAATATTTAGCATGTATGTCTAATCGAATGATGCATGAATGTTTAGTTAGAAAATTCTAATATTTGCATTTGTACTGCGTATCAATATAAAAAGAAAGTTGAGAATAAAGAAAAAGAGTACGAAATACAGCGCAGAAACCTGAAGGTGAACGCGTGTTTATCGCAAGTTCTAACTGATATATAAGTAAGTTCCGTTGCTTAAATGGAAATGTGATCTTCTGATTTGAGAAAAGTGAAAAGTGCTAAAACGAATCCTATCGCATCAATATAAAATATATCGTTAGCAATAGACTTTATACATCGAGTCAAGTGATTTGCATAACTGACTGGGTGTCTTAGGTACCGTTTGCATTCGGGATGAAGTCAAACAGACATACAGTGAAAGGGACAAAATGTTAAATTTGACTCACCGCATTTTAGCAGAAAAGAATTTTAAATGAAAAAGAAAGAATCTACTTGTAGTTACAAGAAAAAGAAAAGAATTAATGTACACAAGGCTCATAGACAGGATACTGACTGACAGTGGTGCTTTTACATATTTTTTCTCCACCTGTAGAAATCAACTTGCTGAACCACAAGTTTAGTCTGAGCGAAAACTTCATATTAGGTTGTTAACTAAGTTCTGAGCGCTAATATTTTTCGAATAACTTTTCACAGAAATGAGATAGAGACCTGCTGTTTTTATAAGCAGAAACTTGTTTCAAAATTTTATGTAAGTCCGATTTTCCAGTGGATCTTTGGGAAACCAACTCCGTTCTCAGAAAAATAACATACAATGTTAGCAATTGTTTGCATGTGTAGATAGTTCGGACGTTACTCTACAAAATTATGCGAGTCCCAGCTCTCCAGCTATCGTCGTTCTGACAGGGCTTGCTTTCCCCGAGCACGTGTCTATCTAGATTCCCAGTAGACATCTTTGGGAATCTCGAAATGCCATGGAGTATAGGTAATCGACTACGCTGAGCATAGTGGGAACATTTTTTTTTATGTAGAAATGAAAATAACTTCGTCGGAGGCATTTTTGCGAAAAAAAACTGGTTTTTTGCCTGTTACTAGCAAAAGTTGAAATCCTTATATCTCGGTCAGATCTCATGCTCACTTAAGGAAAATTTCAGAAAACGCTCAGGACAGCTCATAAAGTATAACCAAAGAAGAAAGCAGTCAATTCCACCTGGGCATTGGTTTAAGTTTTCCAGAAACCTTCTGAAAAACCTCAAAGCCTCAGTATTCTTCTGGACCACTTTTTCGGCTTGATTAACAATATATGGCGCTGTTTAAGTCGTTCCTAAAAATTTCCTTGTCCGGACTATCTACACATGCAAACAATTGCTAACATTGTATGTTATTTTTCTGAGAACGGAGTTGGTTTCCCAAAGATCCACTGGAAAATCGGACTTACATAAAATTTTGAAACAAGTTTCTGCTTATAAAAACAGCAGGTCTCTATCTCATTTCTGTGAAAAGTTATTCGAAAAATATTAGCGCTCAGAACTTAGTTAACAACCTAATATGAAGTTTTCGCTCAGACTAAACTTGTGGTTCAGCAAGTTGATTTCTACAGGTGGAGAAAAAATATGTAAAAGCACCACTGTCAGTCAGTATCCTGTCTATGAGCCTTGTGTACATTAATTCTTTTCTTTTTCTTGTAACTACAAGTAGATTCTTTCTTTTTCATTTAAAATTCTTTTCTGCTAAAGTGCGGTGAGTCAAATTTAACATTTTGTCCCTTTCACTGTACGTGTGTTTGACAAATTTTGAAACAAGTTTCTGCTTATAAAAACGTGTCTTAAGGTCTTGGCTATTCAATAGTGAGAACCGCAGATCTATCTCATATCTGTGAAAAATGTTAGAGCTCAGAACTTAGTTAACAACCTAATAGAATATGATACAGATACATATTACATATGCACATGATACATTTTGCTACTAGAAAATAAAAGATTGCGCGAAAAATGTTATAAGAAAAGAAAGAAACGGTTTAAAATACTGTCAGCAATAACGAGCGATTGAGGACAATCAACCGCAACTATTGGTTGTTACCGGCGGCGGAACAACTGTCGCCATTGTCGGTGCTTGTTGCCGTTTATGATTTTCTTGTCTAATCATGTACTCTTGTACAAGAGACGGTAGGCCAGGATTAAGACCCAACATATACGGCAATATCATTTTTGGTAAATCAGCAAAATCCACAATCACTTTTATGAACATTGTGTCCTCTCGGACATAATTATTGTGCTCTTGTTGAATCATTGGTAACGGAAAAAACTTCGGTATACCCGAAGCAATATTCATTTCGGATCGTGGCCGTTGGAAACTATTGGACTTTGTATCAGGTCGGAACGAATCTATAACATGTCGATTTTGCCCAGATTGATCGAAAAGACAGAAAGTAACCTTATGATTAAATGGCCATTTGAGGACAGGATCATATTCACCTTTCATTAAAACAAAGAACAGTGACATATGTGTTCGACGCGCTTGACCGTCACCGTGCAGATATAAGCGTGCCCTCATTTTATATCCGGCTGGTGATGAGTAGAATGGCGGTGAATAAATTGATGTTTGTCTTTCGCTTTGAGCATCTGCCATTTTATTTGAGATATCTGCCACCTTCCATGTCAACGTACCATCGTAGAAAGAGAGTTCAGTTTCTTCAACTTTTTGTTTAATACTCGATAGTTGCTCCTGCATCATTTCCTGATTTGGAGCTATAGCTGCTAGATAATTATCCGTTTCTTTAATGGATAGTTTTAGTTGGTTTACGTCACTAAAAGCTGATTGTATGGAGTTCTGATGCCGAAATGATTCTGCGCCCAATCTAGTTGTATCATTTGATAATGATTGAATGCCTTGACTCAACACAGTTATGGTGTCATGACATTTATTCACCTCAGCAAAAAGACTGCTAGTTTTTGTAGCCATTTGCTCCGACACTGTACTTTCATAGTCCATAGCGTGATGATCTACATTGTTTTCTTGTTTCAGTGTGTTCCCCGAGCGAGCACTGTTGGTTGTTTCTAACGGAGAATGAGAAGTTGAGATAGTGGTACGTTGCTCGTTAACTATTGGTCCAATTTCATATGCGATATGTTTGAGGAATCTTAGTATAGAAGTTTGATGGGATTCTTGCACAAGATGAGTACCAAGCTCACTGCGAACAAACTGAGTAAGAAAGTATTAGAGATATAAAAAGTATTTTTCCCAAACATTTTACCGAGCAAGAACAATCATACATGGCCAGCGGACAAGTCGTCAGTGCTTTAGAACATGATTGTTGTTTATGTTCATATAATATACCTGACGATGAAAACTGTTGGTCACAATACTCACATACTGTGCTAGAGTGGCACTTATCGAGATGTTCCTAGAAAAATTAGCAATTAGCTATCGTCTTTGGTGCTGTTGGCGAGGGGATCTTCCCCAGTGATTAAAAGCTCTTCTCATTTCTTCTTCTAGTGTAGTTTTTGATGCTGACCACGAATGTGATGTTCGTTGCAGTTCTTGAGTTTCTGAGTAGATCGTCAGAAAGCCGGTCTCGGGAGACCCATCATGAATCGGCCAATCAAGATATTCTGATCTAGTCAGTCTGTAGAGCTCATCGAGTTACCCATGTGGAAATGTATTTAAAACTATCGAACAAGTTTTAGTCAAGTTATAAAAATAGATAGAAACTCGTTCTGTTTAAACTTCTGGTGAACTATGTTGGAATCTAACTTTACTAAATTTACTGTCATACTTAACCAAGTGGCACTAATTAGAGTTTCTGCAAGAACAAGACAGTTTGGTTTTAGTAGAACATTTATTATGTGAACCTGATAATTGTGGAGCTCGCCAATCCAGACGCAATTTCTAGATTTCTCGATGCACTCAACTCGTAATTGATCCATCTCTTTCTTAAATCCTTTATCAAACATCACCTAAAACAATACGAATGAACATTCAAGGAAGACACGTATATTCACATAATGACAGTCTAAGCACTGATCTGAAGCGACTAACTAATAATTATGTGGCTGGAAACTTCATTGTTAAGATAAATGGTAGGCCCTAGGTCTTGAAGCCGACGAATATAGGGGTATATATATATAGTATATGTATATATATAATATTATATATATATTATCTTACATATAATATTATTCATATATACCCTCTATATGTACCCTTATTATATATTATAATATCATTATATGTATACATATAATATCATATATATATATATATATACTACTAACGCTCAACGGCCAAGAGCAAGACTTAGCGCCCACCCTCTATCTGCTTACCTTATTGGATATTTTCTCATTGCAGAGGGTACAGATGATTGTATCCGCGTCCCTTCAAGCATAATATTCAGCTATCTTAGGTGAATTTCTACTAAGTTTCATTGCTTCTCACCCAATTTTCAATGTGGCACATAATGAGCATGCTCGATCTCCACATGAGAATTGTATAGGATCTCTAAATATGTATCGACAGAAGGGACAGACGTATTTCTGTTCAAACGAAGTTGAAATCCTTATATCTCGGTCAGATCTCATGCTCACTTAAGGAAAATTTCAGAAAACGCTCAGGACAGCTCATAAAGTATAACCAAAGAAGAAAGCAGTCAATTCCACCTGGGCATTGGTTTAAGTTTTCCAGAAACCTTCTGAAAAACCTCAAAGCCTCAGTATTCTTCTGGACCACTTTTTCGGCTTGATTACATAAATCAAATTCGGTGGTTCTGAAAATACATAAATATCGTTCGATAATGTTGACAGAATCATGGTAAAAGTAGTTTCGTAAACAAATAGTTTGGCATTGTAGTAAAAATGTTTGTTAACTAGACGAAGAGATACCGTTGAATGCGGGTATTTGTAAACTTAGGTTAATATGTTGCTAGGCCATACAGAAATTAAGTTCTTATGCTATACGAAATGTAGAACGATATCTAAGACCGAAGTTGAATGTTATACAATAACCTAACTACTTATTTTCGTTCAAATCCTCAAATAATTTCCCATAAATAGATGCTACAAAATTACAAGCTATTTCTGTAACAAATTATTAACAAATTATTTGGGTACCCAGTAAATATTTGCCCAGTATACCAGTATAAATACTGATACTGGGGCATACCTAGTCCCGAGTTCCTGAAAAAGATATAATTTCTATCCAAAAACAGGAATCCAATGGACTTTTATGGGAGTTCAGTGGGACTCCCATGGGGCTTCGCATTTTTCCGAGACTTCTTACTGGACTATCGACTAGGAGGATCAACTACTTGAAAAGAATATATAGCCCGATGTCGGAAACTCGTGTGGATTCCAGATCAAATAGCAGCGATTACCAGACGCTTAGACGCCGACACTTCCGTGCGCGCGCATATGGGCGCATCTACAACACAAGCATTCAGTAAGAGTGCATTTGTTAAAGTATGATGCATAACGCTAAAATTGATGCATAATGCAAAAACTGATGCATAATCGCAAACATTGGTGTCACATGCTATTTTGGCAGTGTTCGCATTAGCGCTTTGCATCCCCATGTCCACAGGTGTACACACCATTGAATATTGTGTAAGATGCTCTGCGTTGGTGGCGTCTGAGGTATTTCCTGACAAAAAATGATTTTTCTTCATAACCACTGAAAGAGCCTTCTTTACAAGCGGGACGTTTGCCGATAACGATTTCTCTTTATTTTATGTAATCACACATCTAAACAAATTTCTGATGCTATCGCGTCCCGTCATGAAAGTCGCAGTCTTTGCAGCTAAAATACCTTAAATGATTGATGTTTCTTATGGCCAAGCAATTCTTGCACTCAACAAATTGTATCCTTCTTCGAAGTGCAGTATAAGAAAAGCATAATCTGAAATTATAAAGCATTACTCAAACCTTTCCACAGTGACACTGCTAGCTATACATACATAATTTTTGTTAGCTTACTTAAAACAGTATATTTTGCCATTGAAATAATAGCTATATATAACTACTGCAGGCATTGTCGACATATACGACTATTTTCGTGTGACTTCCCGCTTATCATGCCCTGTGATTCATTAAACATACAAAAACTTTCGGGTTTTTCTTATTTTCCAACACAATGATGCATAGTCTTGTTTAAAAGTAGTATGCTGGTTTATCACCATTTTGAGATGGAGTATATTGTCACTTACTCAGACAACAGACACTCGAGCAGGAATGGAGAAAAACACTTCACTTTATCGGCATCATTTTATACTTGAATGGGTTATTTCTCGAGTAATGTATTATATTTGCTACGCGTATCGCTATGTAAATAGCACTTTTAAGTAGCCTTTTCATAAAAATGATACGATATTTGATGATGAATCACTTCCAACTGTAAAAAGGATCTGATGACGATGCTGTGCTCGCAGACATTTGATAATAGAAAGACTCTTTCTATTGTCAAATGTCTGCAAAACTAGAGGCTCTAGTTTTTGCCGAGTTTATTAGAGACTATCATAGTACAACAGACTACAGTCTTTTATTTTCCTTTATTATTCTTATGTCTTGTGAGCTCATTTTTAGATTATTATTTATTCATATGCTCTTTACCTAGTGTGTTCGTTCAAATTTCCTAACACATTAATTTTCGCTTTGTTTAAGTACATCCGAGGCTTTTGTTTGATTTCTTTTTTTCATCGTTTTATTGGCACGTATGTATGGATCTCTTTTCGAACAAGATGAATACAGAATGCATGGAGTAGACGGACACCAGACATAATCTTATAAATAAAATATTTCACTTCCGGTCTAGGCGGAAACTCCAGCAGTTTTAGAAGATACAACACGAGACACGTTAAAATTGAGTGCACGATTTGAATTACTACCGACACAACATAACATCAACGAAGATTCGAATGATTATCGTTGTTCCTCGAGGATAATTGAAGCTTTATCGTATATTAAGCTTAATCGTATATACGTGGAGTCATTCTCTTTTATTTGAATGAATAAAAGCTTTAATTGTACGTGGTGACACCATGTTTTATTAGAATTAACATTAACAATAACATTTGTATATATACGTGGTGATTTATGATATATTGTATGATCCTGTTCTATCGCGTGTTCTATCAGAATGAATAACACTAATAGTTGTACATATGACAGTCATGTTTTATTTACATAGCAAAACAGGTCACTTTTCAAGTAAGAAGATCGCTTTCATTGTAAGAAAAATGTCGTCGTATATGCATGTTGTGTGCTTCATTTATTTCGTTTTTCTTATCTTGGCACATTACATACACATTCAGCGACTTTCTTTCTAGACTTAATATAAGAGAAAAAAGTCTATATTCATCAAATATCTGTCGATTACATCCATAAGGAAGACGCAAGTAACACGCAAAAACAGTTTTTCGTTTCTTTCTCAAAAACTAAGAGTTGTCCAGGAAAAGGGGTAGCATATCTGGGATCCTCGTTAAATTCCCCATCGATTGATGCATTCCGTTTTCTTGTAAACCAGCCCCAGGAAAAGTGACCTGTTTTGCTATGAGATAATGAATTTATCAGTTTGTTTTACATATATCTTGTTTAAGAGCCATTGCACATAAACCACAATCGATGTTCTCAGAACGTTTTAAAACTAGGGGCTCTTTCAGACCAAACATTTTGATGAATTTTGGAAAAAAGGCGCAAGTCAGAAAGTTGTATCGTTGCTAAGATATTGAAATAAAGCAACCTGTCGTTACTGAATTACAAGAGTTTAAAGTTGGCGGAATCCTTGTTTTTTGGACTGTCCGTAAAATTTTAATATCTCATCAAGGATACAACTTTTTGACTTGCATCTTTTGCCAAAATTCAGCAGAATGTTTGGTTTAAAAGAGTCTCCTAGTCTGAAAAAGTTTTGAGAGCATCCAAATAACAAATGAATGTCGGAAAAATTATTTCATTGTTATTATACAATCATACTTACACGTAAACAGAAAAACAAATCAATTTTGAAAAACAAGTGTCATCGAGTTACATTAAAGAGCCCACTTGAAAAAATCCTTTTTTCATTCGATACTCCAAACTGTCAGCTACAAAATGTCTGTAAAATGTTTTTTTTAATGTAGCCTATATTCCCAGAAAGATAAAGATTACGCTTGTTCCAGTTGGCTTGCTCAATCCGTTACGCTTGCTCCAGTCGGTTAGTCAATTTTAGAGATGCAACGGTAACGGTTGACAACCGGTCGCTACCGATCTAACCGGCTTAACGGTTACCGGTAATGACCCGTTACCGGTGTAACCGGTTCTGTGAGTGATGTGAGTTCTTAAGTTAGTTTGAGTTACACTGATTGTTCCATGTTAAAAAGTGTTTTTCTTCAACGTTATGTTGATTAACAGAAAATTGTGATTAAGAAACATTTATTTTGTGTTTTGAATTGTGTAGCAAATATTTCTTTTCTTTTTCAAGTTTATGGTTTTACATGTTGACTATTTTATGAAGCAAATTCTTGGTATACAAGCAATAATTTGCTCTCCAAGAAGAAGTGATTCAAAATAACATCTAATAAAAAATTTTGTATG